TAAACTTCTCACAAAATATGTTCTACTAGCTATATATCATACTAATATTATTATTAATAAAATAATATGTATTGTTGCATTGTAATTACTATAAATAAATAAACTAACTTTTGCAAATAAAATAAAAAATTCTGGTAGCTCAACTGGTATAATAAATAGAATTAGAATTAGAAGAAGAAGAATTATTATTATTATTAGTAGTAGTAGTATTAGTAAGTAAAGAATTAATATATTTTAAGTTATTTGTTTTTATAAAATAAAATTGTTAAAAAAAATGAATGCATAACTTTCATGATTAATTAATGAATAGCATTCGTGTGCATGAATGTATCTATCAAATTTCCATGAAAATTCCTCATGATGTTTGAAACGTGTCTTCCTCCTGCAGTAGTGAGTCACTCGTTGAGCAGGTGTGTGTTTGAGTCATTCATCAGGCATGCAGGAACCCTGACCCACCTTCTCCTCGGCCTCAAAGTCATGGTTGTCCTGGGCCATTTCTTCACTGGGACGCTTGTGGACCAGCTTTCTGCACAGCAGCCACACGGACAGACTGGCCATGAACATCCCAATGTCCGGCAGGAAAACTCGGATGCCATTGCCTGCGTCTGCACCGATAACACTACAAACACAGACAGCACATCAGCACACAGTACTGAAGCATATGCATTATTCTTCCACATACATTTCTCTTTAAACAGAAGTGCAGACGTGCAGTATTCACGTGTTACAGGTGATCGTCACTATAACAAACAAACTAGCGTCACCAGAATTCCCGTTAAGCCGCACGCCATCTGTGAGGGCGGAAAACATTTGTGAGAACGCCGATTTTTCCGGCAGCATTTTCCAGCTCGAGCTTCTCACACATCTGTTGTGTGCCGTTTTATATGCTTCCCCACCCAGTTCAGTAAAATCAGACTTGCACCATATTAAAAGAGTATAAATATTTCTCATAAAACACATACTGGGTTCTTCTGAAACTCACACAAGAGTGAGATGAAGTGTCGGGTGCATTAGTCAAAACAGGTCTGAATGAAGGTGCCAGTGTTTTGTTGATCATTCAGACAATGAAAAGCAGTTATTCATGCTATTATGAAGGAAAACATATGGTGAACACAATAATCGGAGATGTATGGATGATTGATGGGCTTATACAATATATAATTTCCTCTGGTCAGAAACTATATGTTGCTTCAGGAGTACTAAAGCGTGTATTATGCATGCATCTAGAAATACAACAGAAATGCATATTTCATATGGCATCAGACATCACAAGATGTGTTTGATACAGTCCTATATGAGGAATATTAAGTTAGCATGACTCAATGTTTGAGTAAACAGCTGATTTTACTGTATCTGCACCAAACTTACCAATATATCAATTCGGTTATATTATATTCAATTATATTCGGTTTACAATAAATGAAAAGTCTAGAATTTATTTTAGCATGGCCTTTTTCTTTGCCGTAAGTTTATTGAAATGCAGAGTGATTGTTTGCAGATTGTAAAATTTTTATTTTTTTTTTAAACTCAACGCAACCCTGCCTCTTTTGCCATAACTGTTATTTCCATTTAAGTGGAAAAATAAAATAAAATAAAATAAAATAAAATAAAATAAAATAAAATAAAAATAAAATAAAATACAACTGTTTTGATGTCTCTGAGCGATTTTTTGCAGATTGTAAATAAAACTACACTGCCAGGCATCTCACCCTCTTTTGCAATAACTTTTGCCATAATTTCCATATTGGTGGTTGAGAATTTTAAAATAAATAAAATAAAATAATTACATAATAAAATAATAAAAATAAAATAAAATGAATAAAATAAATACGTTAATAAATTCGAACTGTGATTTGCATATCATAAACACAACCGCTTTACGAGATCTTTTGGCATCATTTTAATTTCCATTTTGGTGGATGTGTCTTCAGGATCTCTCCTCCACTAAATTATGTTCTTAATATCGGCTCTTATCAATTATATTTTAGACCCTAAACATCCACATCTCAATCATTCTTGTATCAACTCATTTCGCTCATGATTCCCTGCCGGTCGGCGGAGCAGAGAGACATCAGCGGGCCGTTATGTCACGGATAAATGCCTTCGCTCAACTAACAGGTCAATTAGGAGTATAAACAGTTTACAGCCAAACTTCCTGCCACTTATGGTGATTCGAGCCCTCCGACCAGCGCTGCTTGGAAAACGGTGCAGGTGGAGATTCCCGTACTCAGGAAACCGCACTTAATACAATCACAGTCAGGCCAGCACACACAAACATCAAGGTAGGCCTTGAAAAATTGGGCTGTCAACAGTGGGTCAGGTTTAATTGGGTTTGGTTTGGAGGCTGAAGTTTGGAGCCGCGCTGCTGGACAGCAGACAGCTGGCCGCAGCGTAAGTGGAGCGTAATGTTATCTGTCTCTGTTTGCTGAAGTACTTCAAACTGAAAACACATCCCTCTTAAGTGTGCAAAATATTACACGCTTCTAAGTGATTTTGTGTGTTGGGAATAAACATAAGGAAAACAATATCCTTACAGTATCGTAAAACTAGTTGCACTGGGCTGTACTACTATTCGAAAGGTTAATATCACTAAATGGTAATGTTTTTTTCTATTATTATTTTGACTGATAATATTAGTTTTTACAACAAAAACATAGACCTAGTTATAGTTATTTTATTTAACTAAAACCACACACACACAAGAAAAAAATTTAATAAATGGAAAAACACTTTCGTTACTTGAAATAAAATAAAATAAAAAGCTAAAATGCAATGTATTTATTATTATTTATATACTACTACTACTACTAATAATAATAATCATCATCATAATTATACATTGATGTTATTTATTATTACTATTATTTTTATTGATTAGTATTATTTATTTATTTATTTTCAGCTAGTTGCCAACATTTCTCATTTTCATTTGTGTAACTTGTGTAAAAATATCTAAAACTGAAATAAAAATGTGTAAAATTATATAGAAATATTTTTAAAAAACTATTTTTATTATTATTACTATGTGTAAAATTAGACATTTTATTAAAACTATTATTATTATTATTATTATTATTATTATTATTATTTATTTTCAGCAAGTTTCTCATTTTCATTTAGTTTAAATTATGTACAATTACTAAAACAACTAAAATGTGACCATGGACCACAAAACCAGTCATAAGGGTCAATTTAAAAAAAAAATTTAGATTTATACATAATCTGAAAGCTGAATAAATAAAGCTTTCCATTGATGTATGGTTTGTTAGGATAGGACAATATTTGGCAAATAAAATCTATAAAAACTATATAGACATAAAAAAAAACAAAAAACTAAAATAATGCTGACATTGACATAAAACATCTTATGATGTCCTAACCATCACTGTCCACACTAAACGTGACACTGCTGCACATCACAGCAATCAGAAAAATATCTGACGTTTAATGTACAGTTGTAAGTCATAATGGGATGACACAGTGGGTGGAGCTACTCATATTAATGGGTGGAGCTTTATATTGTGGGTGGGGCTACTTATAGCAATGCCACAGAAACCAAAACCAAGTACCAACCATCCATCAAGCACTTTTAGATATCAAAACATTTGATTCCTCATTAAATAAACCATTTTAATTCTATTCAGCACACAGGACCAGTTGTCCTGTAACTAAATATCTCACACCTTCAAAGGTCATCCTCTGTCCTTCATTAACCCAAACCATGGGCTCCCAAACGTCTGTCTGCAACATGGTTTCATTTCACTGTTATATAACCTTTTTTTTTTTTTTTTGCAATATCTGACTGAAAGGTGGAAAAGAACTACCCTTGGGAAATTATCACTCTTTCTTTCAAAGCAAATCGATGAGATTAAGCAGCTGAGATGTTCAGAATAGCAGACTGTTTACTCATAGCATATAGCTTAGTATTTCTGCAGTATGTAGTATGTGCACTGGGCACAGTATGAACAAATGTTTAGGGTCAGTAAGATTTTTTTTAGTTTTAGAATGTTACAAAATATTTCTATTTCAAATATATGCCACTCTATTGAAATTTCTATTCATCAAAGAACGCTTCAGGTTTTCCACAAAAATGCTCAGCAGCACAACTGTTTTCAACATTGATAATAATCAGAAATGTTTCTTGAGCAGCAGATCAGCATATTAGACTGATTTCTGAAGATCACGTGACACTGAAGACTGGAGTAATGATGCTGAAAATTCAGCTGCGCATCACAGAAATAAATTACATTTTTAACATATATTTACACAGAAAGCAGTTACTTGATTTGACTGTTTTTACTGTATTTGTTTACAGAAATGCAGCCTTGGTGAGCAGAAGAGACTTGATTCGAAACATTAAAAAAATCTCTGAAACTTCATAATTTATATAATGTGCATAATGTACTTTTACATACTTTTTAACAGTATTTAGTATATAGTGCAGAATATTTAGTATGCTATTCCATTTCCAACACAGTCAATGACACAAAACCGCTCTCAAAGTTCTGATAGCGACAATACTTTCTCCTTTCCTCCTCAAAGCTTTCCATAAAAACTCAATCAATAATCGGGGATGTTTTTGCAGTGCTTGTTGCAGGTTTAGTGTCTTTCTATAAAGAAGCAGTTGTAAAGGACAGGCCAAGAGATTTCACGCAGTAAAAACATTTCCAATTAAAAACCTTTCACAATAGCAACATGTGAGAGTTTGATAAACAGGCATGAAATGAAACCTTCATAAAATGTTTCTAAGCCGGTTTATAGGCTTGTGATTAAAATAAGCGCTTGGACTCACCTCTCGAAGCCAATCTGTCGTATTGACTTCTCCCACACTGAACCTGGTAAATAGAAAAGATAAAGTTTTACTACCCATTGTATAGGATTTTCCAGCACACTGACTCTGAAAGCGCAGGGTGATTCGCCGATAACTACTCGTGCCGTCAGCTTTCATAAAACAATGATGAGAGCCAAGGTGATTTGCTTTGTCAAACTGCAGGGTCACTGTGGGTCATTTCTGAGTTATTTGAGGAAGACTGAATTAGTGCGTCTAGAGATGATTAATGTGATGAGATGACAAGTAATCTTTAAAAAGAGCAGGACGTTCTATTTAAAGCGAAGCACTTTTCTACCTAAACTTGCCCTTTGCTATTGATTTTGTCTAGCTGATTTACAAGTTGTATAAAATAAAAATATTCTATTAAATATTACAATAAAAATAATTAATTCAATCTAATTAAAAAATACAAATAACAATTAATGATTAAGAAAATAAAATAATTAAAATGTTATCATTAAATAATACAAATATTTTTTTAAATAATACATAAAAAATAACTTATACCAATATAGTCAATTTGATATAATTAATACACTTTTTATCATTAGCGTGTTATATCTATATTTTATTTGTATTTAAAGAGATTTTTTTTTTCATTAATAACCAGCAGAGAGTATTGATGTATAACATTCCAAACTCAAATTACCCTGGATTTAAATTGGAAAAAAAAAACAATCTGTGATATATGTTTATCTAATATCAACCATTTGTTAAAATTCAACCTATTTTTTTTTTATAAAAATAATACAAATAAATAAATAAATAAATAATAAAAAATATAACATTCAAATAGATACATAAATGCATACATAAAAAATAACTGAAACATAGTCATACTGACATTTTTAACACTGTGTTATATCTATATTTTACCTGTATTTAAAGAGAACTGCTTTTCTATCTTTAATTACCATATTCTCTTTTATTTTATTTAGCTGATTTCTAAGATGTATACAAATAAAACCATTCAAATATTATATTCACTGTAAAATCACTGTAAAGCACGGCCTATTGTTTTAATGTCTGATATCCGTTAGAGCTGCCAAAGGAAAATGAGCTCAACTTCAGACGTGTCTGTATTATTTACAGTAATCACAAATCAATGCGTCAGACTGTGTTCTTAGTAAATTAGGAGAGTAATTAGGTATTGAATAGCCGTCGAGACTGAAGTCTCTTACAGACAGACTCACTGCCTGGATTCAGCCCAACATTACACTGATGGACAATATTACACTGACTGGATGTCTGTCTAATGACACCAACTGAATGTGTGGATGCTATGTTATTATGTATATCTATTTTTTAGAAAAAAGGAAAACACCACGCATCATTCATCACTCCAAGACAAATGGATTTCATTTCATCCCATTAAGGAGGATCGAAACCCGTCAAAATTCAACAATACCATTCATTCTAAACAGCATTATTACCATCATTCTGACTAATACTCCATGATGACTGTTATCAGGGTTATGGCATTTAATTGAACATTTAATCTATAAAACATACTAGTATCTATTTTTATGCTACTAGTACTTATTTTTTTAGTAACTAGTATCTATTACATTAGGTACTAGTACTTATTTGTTGGATACTAGTGCATATTCTTTAGCTACTAGTGCGTATTCCTTAGGTAGTACCTTTTTAAAAACTACTAGTACTTAATCATTAGATACTCATTCATTACATACTAGTACTCATTATAGACTAGTACTTATTAGATAATAGAATTAATTTGATTAGACACTAGTACTCATTCATTAAATACTAGTACTCAGTCATTAAATACTAGTACTCATTTAGTAGTTACTGGTACTTATTCATTAGAAAATAATTTCTATTCATTAGGTACTAGTACTCATCCTTTAGACACTAGTACTTATTCATAAGATACTACAATACCATTAGATACTGGTACCAATTCATTGGATACTAGTACTCATTCATTAAACACTAGTACTCGGTCATTAAATACTAGTACTCATTCATTAAATACTAGTACTCATTTAGTAGATACTGGTACTTATTCATTAGATACTACAATACCATTAGATACTGGCACCAATTCATTGGATACTAGTACTCATTCATTAAACACTAGTACTCATCCATTAAATACTAGTACTCATTCATTAAACACTAGTACTCATTTATTAGATACTGGTACTTATTCATTAGAAACTAGTATCTATTCATTAGATAATAGTACTCATTCATTAGACACTAGTACTTATTCATTGAATATTAGTATACTGTATACTAGTACTTAATTAGATACTAGTACCTCTTAAATAGATATTAGTACTTATTTGAATAGCGACTAGTAACTATTCTGTTGTTATTGGTAACACATTTCAAATTTTATCTGTTGACTTCTATATGGATCTGTCATTCAGGTATCAACTATTCAGTTCTGACTAGTATGTATTCCAATAGTGACTACTAGTATCATTTTACATTTTTAAAACTGGTAAGTATTAATTAGATACTAGTACTTATTTATTAAAAACTATTACAGTTACACTTTATTTTAAAGTCTGATTCTCACTATTAAGGAGCTATCAACTATGATTTTGCCTCAATAAACTCCTAATTACTGCTCATTAATAGTTAATAAGGTAGTTGTTAAGTTTAGGTAAGATTAAGGGATGTGGACAATGGTTATGCAGAATATGTGTTTTGTAAGTACTAATAAACAGCCAATATTCATGCTAAGCAACTAGTTAATAGTGAGAATTGGTCCCTAAACTAAAGTGTTACCACTATTACACTATTGATTAGATACTAGTAGATTCTAGTAGTTAATCATTAGGTATAGAATACCTGTTGTAATTGCTACTCATAACAAATCTTATTATGCTAGTCAAAAGTTAGTAGTAGCTATTAAATGATAAGCAGCAGCTAATAAATAAGCACTAGTACTTAATGGAATAGATACCAGTCGCTAACAAAATAAGCATTAGTCGCATTAAAATAGATACTAGTACATTTTAGGGATTAAATGTTAAAACGGCTGGGGTAGAGATGCTAGTTAGGGTAACACTTTATTTTAGCGTCTCTTAACTAGTTGCTTATTAGCATGCATATTACTAGAATATTAAACGTTTATTAGTAGTAATTAAGCACATATTAATGCCTTATTCTACATGACCTTATTCTACATCCCTAATCCTACCCAAAAACTAAACTTAACAACTACCTTACTAACTATTAATAAGCAGCAAATTAGGAATTTACTGAGGGAAAAGTCGAAGTTAATAGTGAATGTGTTCCCTATTCTAAAGTGTTACCCTAGTTAGACACATTTAAGCTCACCTAATGTGACATTGTGATAAAAGAAATCTAATATGATTGAGTTTAATATTTTACCAAGTATATAAAGACCTATATGATGGACAGATGAACACTTACGGAGTTCAAAAGTCACACCAGGACAGAAGTGAAAGTGTCTAAGTAAAACAAAATGTCTAATTATCAGCTCTGAAAAGGGTTATAAGAAAGTTGACCGCTTTAGTCATTCCCAGAATTGAAACATTAGAAACAGTAAATAGTCTCCGGTCTCAGCGGGACGTGAGTAATGTTTTCATTGTTCAGACGAGAACAATTGGAGAGGGCAAAGACAAATCTAAGTGGCACATTTCCCATAAGCCTCCCGCACGGTTATTTAAAGTTAAAGTAGACATACAAAACATCTCTTCTTGATTTGACACAAGCACAACTTTTTCAGCACATTAAATGTGGATTGAATTAAAATACATCTACAATGCTGTTCCTGTTTAAAATGAGAAACCCAGCGCATAAAGCATAGTTTTCCTATGCTATTCTTTTCACGTTCGTTTTTGGCATAAATGTTTTGCATACAATATTTCCAAAGTATCAAAAACTAAAACAGTAACTGAGAAGAAAAATATAGGTGCCATTTAAAAAAAAAATACAATTAAACATTTTAAATAAAACAGGAACTAGAAAAATGTATACAACTAAAAAATAAATAAAATATTTAAAAAAAATACATAAATAAATAATAAAAAAAAAATGCTTGCTTGCTTGAATTTTTTAGCCAGCACTTAAATTGGAAGTTTTGACAATTTGTAATAATGGTCATTATGATAATTTTTAGCTGATTTTGAGGTTATAAATGTCAACATCTCAATCTAATGTTCCCCTGTGTCAGCTGTCAGAGAGAAATATTGTCAATTTGTCTCCTTCATTGGTCCATAATTCATGGCTGGCAGTACAATGATAAAATAAGCAAGGTCAGCAGAAAGTGGTCAGTGGAGCGATGCAGAGATCACGAACACCTCCGAGGTCAGTGACCCTGAGCAAAACTCTGTCCTCCTCTGAACACTCTAGACTTCTTCACAGTCTTTATTTACAGACACGAAGACTAAGAAGGATTACGTTTCTTCTACTGATGTGTGACCGGCTCGCGCAACACTGTTCCTAACTTACTTTGCTATCAAACAGTGAGTTCATGCAGCATGAAGGGCCGTTTCACAGTCACACAAACGTACATAAAGCTTCATTAAACATTTATTGCCTGGGGTCTCTATGTGCCAGAAGGGTTTTACAGTCATATGCTGTAAGAGTGAATTTCACAAAAAATGTCACATTTCACTCAAAAATAAAATAAAACATGAAGATGAAATAATACAAAAATTACACATACAATTATATTAAAATTACAATAAAATAAAAATAGAATTTTTTTTTTAAAAATTATTAAAAAAATTAAACAATAATGCTGAAACATAAATATTTAATATAAAATTAGATTAAAAAGAATAAAATAAAAAGTAAAATAGAAACAAAAAATAATATAAAAATTCAAACAAAATGATGAAATTAAATATTAAATATTAATTCAAATAAAATAAAAGCTACAATTTTTGCTCTGCTAGTAGTTGAACCCTTCTGAAAACTCTGTATATTCGTTTTTGAGAGGAAGCATAACTTACAGTTGAATTCAGAACCGATAGAGTTTGCAGCCAGCAAACTGTGGATGGTGATTTGATAGACGATGTGGATGAAGAGGAAGGTCATACTGCAGAAGCATAAAGACTTCAGCAAGTGCCCCGTGTAACCTGGAAGAGAATAAGCAACAGGAACAAGCATCAAGGGTCAGTAAAGATTTGAGTCTGACATGCTGATGAACCATATTATCACCTAACTCATAAGGGGATTTGTTGATAGGATAATAATGTGTTCAAAGAAAGGCAATACACATGTTGTGCCAATACTAGTAAAATCTGTATTAAATGCCAATAATAACCAGAAAAAAAAAGAAAGATTGTATGCATACTGCAGAACTAATAAACTAGCACAAAATACAGCGGGACTCTTATTTTGAAATGTCTATGCTACCTCCAGCTACTCATTTCAAAATATGAGGGAAATAAACATTTTCTTATAATTATCTACAACATATTACAATACAAACACCATAATGTAAACCTTAATTCATCAACTCATCAACAGTAGATCATATGCTTATCATAAATGCGCAGTATTCACTGATTGCAAATGGTTTTGGCAAGAAAAGTGCTATGTTTTGACTTTGAAATATGCATGTGAATTATTTACTTCAATCATTGCCTTCTGCCGTTTCATCATTACATTGGGTCGTACTACATTTCCTGTTTTTCCATCCCTAAACTTAAGACCTTTTGTTATACAATTTAAGACCTTCAATTTCAACTGAATTAAAAACATTTAAAGTAGTGCTGTCAAATGATTAATCGCGATTAATCGCATCCAAAATAAAAGTTTTTGTTTACATAATATATGTGTGTGTAGTATACTGTGTATATTTATTATGTATATATAAATACACGCATGCATGTATATATTTCAGAAAAATATGCTATATTTATATATTAAATATATTTATTTATAATATAAATTATATGAATATAGACATGTAAATATTTTCAAAATATATACTGTATGTGTATGTATTCATATATACACAATAAAGAGACACAGAACACACAAATATATTTAGCAAACAAAAACTTTTTTGTATGCGATTAATCGCGATTAATCGCTTGACAGCACTAATTTAAAGACATTTTTAAGGACTAGCAGGGATGCAATATTCAGAATTGATCAAAGCAGGGCTTCCAAAATGTCACACAACATTTGAACAAACAAGTTTCAGGCCAAAGAAGCAAATTAAAGCTCTTTATTTAAAAAAAATAACTCGTGAAAATCACAATATTTCCTTGGGTTTGAATGAAAACATGAATGTGTGCGTGTTTAATGCTTCACGTGTGTTTTAGCTCTATTTGAGATCCTGCTAATGGAGTTGGTGTTGCTAATTTCCCTCAGCACAGGCGTCCGATGTTGTTCTTACAAGACGAACAGCAGCTAATCGTGAGAGCCTCTTTGTTTTAGCACTCTCAAATAGCAGAACACCAAGGTCAAATGAAGTATTAAAGTATTTTTAGAGTGTTTTTCTCTACCAACAATCGATATTTTCCGATGCGGGGCAGGCCCATCATATGTAATGCTTCCTAATGGAGATCATTTTAGCCACAAGTGAGACATAATCGTAAGAAACCAGACGGTGAGAAGCGCTGCCAGATGCTAGCTGCGAGATCTGTCCTGGGCCGGGGATATGGCTTGTCCTGATTTACTCTGTTAAACACACTGTGCTCAACAATTTGAGCTAATTTCCCCCTAACAGGAGGAAGGGGTTGTTAATGTATAGTTTAGCGAGCACCACGGGTACAGATCTCCGCCAGAACACTAATTCACATCACATATTTCATCCCTATCAAATAAAAAGCATGCATGAGGAGGACAACAAGGTGAAAAACGCTAACTGCATCTCTCCTGACCGCCGTAAACTTTCAATTGACTGTGCAGTTTGTGCCACCTCTGCCTATTAATAGGGCCAGAAACTAACGCTGATGCTTGTAATGTAAATCAATGAGATCTATATGACACTGTAGCAGACTACGGACATAAAATTATATTAATATCCCTCATCATCACTCTATATCTCCAACAGAAACTCCTTCAAGAGCATTTGGGCATGTAGAAACGTCAAGTTCATTGCTAAAAGCATCTGTCAAATTTCTAAACTTCTAAAACAGTGACTGAACACAGAGGTGAAGCTTAATGTCATCTCCCTAATGGGTTAAAACACCATCTTAAAAGGAAATTATGATTATTATTTTATCTAGGGATGCACTGATACCACTTTTTCCAGTACTCGCCCGATACCGATACTTTTATTTTATTTTTGGTACTTGCCGATACCGAGTACCGATACCAATATTTTTATTGCATTTGTAAATTTTTTAAATATTGGGTACAGAAACCAAAAGGGTATGTATAATGTTAGTTGGTTAACTTTATTTATCAAATAGATTCAGTCAAACCAAAATTTATTCAGACACCTTCAACATTTCTCACATTATCACAGTTTATTCGCTATAGTTTAGAAAATGGTAATAAAATATGACAAGAACTCAGAGTTAAACTGTGTCAGAACAAATTCAGCTTGATAATGTTAGATAACTTTGATAGAAAGGTATGTAATGGATTACAATCAACAAAAAATAATTCAGACAGCTGTTAGTATGACAGTATTTACACAACTATCAATACTTAGTTGGCCAACCCTTAGCCTCAATGACAGCCTGTAGTCTCCTGGGCATGCTGTCACCCAGCTTCATGCAAACCTCAACTTCAATGTTTTTCCCAGACTCGGTCTGAATAATTTTTAGACCCAAATTTGTATCAATTTTACTGGTAATCCACTGTATGAAGAATTTTTGGGTATGATTTGTCACAGTGTCCTGCACCCACTAGTAAATAAATATAAAAAATTATATCTGGTCTCTGAATAATTTTTGATTTGACTGTATATCCTTCGTTTACTTTCACACTTAATTATGTCCATTAAAATG